GAATAGGTCGACTCGTCTAAGGAAAATCCAAACACAAAATATCAGTACTAAATAGCAGCTTGTCATATTATCATAATTATGCAGTAAAAAGTTCAATTCACAACCGAGCCATTGTCTTCTGCACGCGTCTCTCGTTATATGATACAGCTTAATGAGTGTAGCAAACTGAAGACCCTTTTTTATTGGAAACGAGACATTCCATTTTATATATATGGATGACAACTCGTATGAATTTTGCTTATACATTGAAGATATATATGGGTCGCAGCATCCGCTTACATCAGTAGGACTATGATGTGCTCGTTTATCGTTCTTATTTTATAAAACATAGCGACTCACCACTAGATAGAGTGACAAACTGATTAAACATGTAGGTAGTCGATGGATGCAGGAGACACAGGAGCTTATAATATCTAAGAGAGAGGCCTATGCCCACGGTGCCCACGGTGGACTTTCAATGTCGTGAAATAGTGAAGCGAAATAATTGCTCGTGCAGATATTATAATACGGAATATACGGAAACGGAACTTGGGAATTCTAATACCACATTAACTTGGACAAATTTTAAGCGTTGGCTTCGTGAACTACTCAATGTATTAGATATTACTTAAGTACAACTGGTTCATGAATTATGATCGTAGCGGAATACTTTCTGTTATCCGGATATGTATTAAAGTTTCTCCATGTTTATTTCAAACTTATGATACATTAATATTAATGATTGGCTGTCTCATTGGTCTATAATTGCTCCTAAACGTGGCTGGTTACTTTGCTATCCCGGCTATGAACCCGGGTCGGCCAAAATAAGTTATTGGATTCTGCTGTTAAGAAACTTTCAATCGAAAAATCTCAGCTCGGAGTCAGACAGTTGGCAGTGTTTTGCTGCGTGCCTTGGAAAGCACATAAGCAATTGATCCTGCCTAATCTCCCATCGGGCTACGAGAGTGAGTGGATAGTGAGTTCACCTCTGTTTGCGCTTAGACTTGGGCACTATAATTCTATCCGCGCAAATAGTTAGTCTCCGTTGAGACCGGTTACCGTGAGCGAAATTCGCTCTAGCCTACTGCTGGGAATATACCTCTTTATAAAGGGGTTATGGAGCAATCATCCCGGCGCACTGCTGTAATGGGCCATATTCCATATTCATCACATCTCCTAAAAAAAGTTTATTCCTCTGTTATATTGGTTCCTACACGATGTTTTCCTATACTGGTGTAAGTTAGTGTCGGCGAGGAATAAACTCTTGCATTTTAATTTTATGAATAAAGTTTACAGTAAGTATTTAGCTCCTTTTTACACGCTAACCTGACTTGTACGCAGCACCGGTGGTTTATGATAACTCATGGCAAAATATACATTGAAAACCGCTGAACCTAATTTCGCAGAATAGCAATACAACATGCAGAGTAGGTTTCACGTATAGTTTACATTTGGCAACGACTTTCCTTTTCTTTAAAAGCTGACTTGCAAATGATGACGTGCCGTTATAACCTAATAAAAGTCCTACGTCCACTGCTGAATACAGGCCCATCCCATTAACTGGCTACGGGAGAATATTTGTCATAGTTGTCGCGCTTGGTGCGTGGGTGAGCAACCTTAGTTTTTTTATTTTTAGTTGTTATCAGGAACATGCTGCTGCCTATTTCCAGCTTTATGTCCTTCCGTCGCCACTCTTGAAACCCACAGGACGATATGGGTTAGTGGTTATAATCATACCGTCACTTCACTATCAAAGGAATGACATACACAAGTAGTACCATTAATATTGTACTGACATAACCCAACGAATCAGTAAGCTGAAGTAGCAATAAACCGGTCACATAGCTTAAAAACCGACAACCTATGGGGAAAAGAGGTTCCCGTGTGGCAGTCCGTATCAGTAGGCGAAGTGTAGGGCGGCCATTCACTACATGTAGTGACGACTTGGTAAGAGATGCAAAAAGTCGATGGTTTTAGCCGGCTAAGGACCGTAGACTAGTGAGGGTCTATAATGAATGAATAAATGAATTTTTATTATATAGTCCAAAAGTACCTTTACTTTAGATTGTTTTTACTTTTAAGATTAAAAGTACGATACATAAAAATCATATAATACACAATGTATGATAAAATAGCACCAAGTTACATATCAAAAGTTTCTAGCTTTAAACAGACAATAAATACAATATTATCATTTTTGTAAAATTTTCATAACCGGAGCATAAAGCCAAATGAACCATTTCCGCGGCATCGATAAATATGAAATATTACGCCATTAATATTTCTGTGCGGTCGTTAAATACCTAATTACACATTAGAACAGCTTGTGTAAAACCTTATCATGCGACAATTTTTTTATAATTTCAACAAATTAATTAAACTTTAAAGTTTAATATCTCGTATATGTACGTACGTATGTATTGAATGTGAATATTTTTTAAAGTGACAAATTAAATTAACTCCATCTGATTATCAGTTTGTACTGCAGCCCATGAACATCTGCAACGGATTCAAGCGAAGAAGGCCATGGACGCGTTGTCAGCTTTGAGGAGTAAGATGGAATGCGTCATAGGCTGTAAGTATCCTGGCTCTCTATACCTATCAGCTGAAATAATACTCACACGCTGCTGTCTGGCAGAGTTAGGTATGAGTATGAGTCACCCAGGTAGTAGGTCGTCTATAAAGCTTATGACGGAAAGGTTTACATGGCCTTCTATAAGAAGGTAATGATGCGATTAGAACCGAAATACCAAAGCGTGCCAGATTTCTCTATCATTTGCCGAGTTAGCTGGATCGAGATTTTCACACATTCATATAGATCTCATATACTCATTACCATCATCATCAGGCTATAAGTAGTGTTTCACTCGATAGCTGGAATTTACTCCTTTGTATGACGTAATGTGCAGAAAGTGTAGCAAGGGCATGTTATGAAATATGAGTTTGTAGTTTTGGCTATCCAGAAACTATAACCTCAGACCAAGGTTGTCAGTTAAAGTCAAACTCTTCAAAGAACTCGTGAAGTTATGTGGATCTCTCTCTGCAAACGGCATGGTGGAACGCATGCATAGAACTTTGAAGGTTGTATTAATAGGTCACAAACTTTGAAGGTTGCATTAATGGCTCATGGGAGAATTAAATAAATTGACTTTTACTGTATTACTGTGTATTCAAAAGGCTTGGAAAAACAACTTACCTTGTTCTTCAGTAGAATTGTTCTTTGGAAAAACAGGTCCAGGCGAATATTTTCACTGCTATATTTTTGTGGAATTTGTGTCACGTTTGCGACAGTACATTGCTAATTTAAAACGAGTTCCTGTAACAAGTCATGGCTTCAAATCAGTATTTGTACAAAAAGACTAAGAGGCTGTACAGTATGTATCCTTAGAAAGGATGGTTTGAGAAGAGCACTGGAAGCACCATACACTGGGCCACTGCGCGTTATTAAGAGAAATGAAAAAGCAATGACGTTAGATCTACCGAGAGGTTCAGTCACCATATCCATTGATTGCTGGGAGCCAGTTTCTTTGTATAACGAAAATGAAGAACTACTCTCGATGTCATCGTCTCCGATTATCACTCGACCTAAAACCTAACATCCTAGGCGTGTAATTATAAAGAGTAATTTTTATTTTCCAGAGTTTTAACTATCCCAGGGGGTTGGTACGGTGACTCGTGCTTCACAATCGGTGACGTCAGCCTGCGTCCCGACCGGTTCCCGTTTGCTAGCCAAAGCAGACGCAAGCGTTCCACCCATTGAGCGAATCGACGACAGCACGTTCAATTCTTTCAACACTTAAGTTTTAATTCGTTATTTGTGAATTTTTATATTTTATTTCAAAGTAAACCGCAACTATAACGTAATATTATAACGTATTATTGCGTAATTAATGCAATAACCTTGCACCTTCAGTAGCTGTTGTTAGTGTCCTTGAGTACTTCTTATGAACGAGATGGTTATACCGACAAATGAATGAATGAATGAATGCATTTATTCTCCTCTTTACAATAGGTATTCTTAGTGATAAGTATTACAAAAATGCCAGACCTAAGTTGTGAGAGACTGGGGCCTGATGTAGGTATAAAAAAACCTGTATTATAGGTCACCAGGGCTCCTCCGCGTATAAAGCAACAGTCTGAGGGATAGAAATCAGAAAGGAGATTATAATTAAGTAAACGAAATGAACTGAAGTAATTACAAATTTCACAACAATACGTGTGTGTACAAATATCAAAAACGTGGAAATTTTTCTGGCATTTCCCATAGCCTACACAACAGCAATACGAAAATATGGGGTAGCGGAGCGGCAGACGGACACAACGAAACATTGTTCAAAGTAAATCATCATTATTACGAACATATTCTGGTCTTGTTCCCTCAACTTTGAGCGGCTATTGGACGGCCGAGGCTAACTAAATAAATGAGTATTTGTAAGCTAACTTAAGACGACACCGCGAGAAAATGCACCTACTTGCATCGAATATTATGACTATGACAAGACTAAAAAAACTGGAATTTTGATATAGGTAATTTCAAGTCTTTATCTTGAATTTGCTTGTTCAAAACACGATTGTAAAAATTTTGACTCGATCATAAATATTTTCGAAAACACCTCACAGCAACTACTTACCATCAGGTGGACTGTGTGCTCGTTTGTCACCTTAATCCTAAAAAAAATATACTTGAATCGTAGGTTTTCAGGCGTGGTTGCTCATAGCTGCATTTTAGAGTTATTTTTTGCGGTAATAAAACATGACATTTGACTAAATGCTACCTATTTGGACAACATCTATAGACTTGTGTATCTAGATCGGGACCCCACACTCTTGTTACATCCACTAATAAGCTTGCCTCCTTCAACCTAGATTTTGTACGTCTGTGGAAGACACATTCCGTTCATAGTTGTACAACACACTATTTGGACAGTAAACCGATGGATACGCTGTGACTGTGCTCTATATTATTCTTAGTGATATTAACGAGTTTTTTTTCTATTATTGTTTTAGGAGAAACTTGCAAAATGAACAAAAGTCGGAAAAAGAAACTATACGATTTAGATGCTGTTTCAGTAATTAATGTTATGGAGCAGTAAGTGTTTTTTTTATTGACGTAACATCAGATTAATGAATTGTTCTTATATATTTATGCTATTTCATTGCAAGAATCAATCGGAAAGGGAAACCTTGATTAATGATAATAGTCGGCAACAGGGGAGTGAAGATATACCTGGATCTGTGAAAGTTTCAGACATCAAAAGTGTCGTTATTGAACAGTTAACAAAAAAAAAATTAAACGACGTTTCAGACAAGTAAGTATAATATAAGGTTTCTTTTTTTGTTCCACTAATATTATTGGAAAATATTCTTCTATATTTTCTTGAAATTCTTTTTTTTTATTTTCTTTCAGAAAAATACGAAAGAAAAAATGTACCGGTGACGTTAATAGTTAATCGAAGAAAACGAAAAATTCGAAACAATGTGTTGAGGAACAATCCGATAAATATTTACAACTATGGGATTTGCCTATTGAAGTAACTTCAATTAGAGACGAGGTATGTGTCTGTTGATTAAAACTGATGTTTACTTTCGCATGATAGTTAAATATTATAGTAACACATTGATTTTATTGTGACAGGTTGATTGGGGGTCATTGTAGAAGCGTGCTCGCCGCGACCCCTGCCATCCCTTTTCAGGGCTGCAATTCTACACAGCTGCGCACCCATGCAAACGAGGGTTAGGGCGTCCCCCCAAGGCGACGCGCACCAGCTCGTCCCCGTTGGTGTGGAATGCAGCGCGCAAAGCGGCGATGGGGACCGCCACCCGTCACGCACAGCCCGACACGGCGGAAGGTGGAGGACGGAGTCCAGAGTTGGCACGTGGAATTTTAGAGGGGGCATGAGAGATAAGACGAATGAGTTGATCGAAATAATGAAAGAAAGAGAATTAGATGTCGTGTGTATGTCGGAGACCAAACGGAAAGGCAGTGGTACTGAAGAGCTCCCTGGCGGGACGTTAGCTATATGGTCCGGAGTCCCGGAAAGCGAGAACGCCTGCCAGGGAGTGGGAGTGCTGTTGTCGTCCCGGTTGGTCGATCTTATGACTGAATACAAGGTTGTGAACTCAAGACTTCTCTGGGTTCACTTCAAAATGGGACTGACGAAGTAATTCCTTTTGGCTGTTTATGCGCCGGTAGCTTCGTCGTCCAGGGCTGAGCTGGAGGAGTTTTGGGAGAATGTAAGAGAAGTTCTAGATTTGGTTAAGGGAAACGAAAGAACTGTTGTATGTGGTGATTTGAATGGATGGGTAGGTATCGCTCGACCAGGATACGAGTCGGTGCTTGAAAGTTTGGCGATAAAAGGGTTAATGATGCTGGCAAGCTTATACTGGCTGTATGCAAGAAAAAGGGTCTTCTTGTGACAAACACTATGTTTAATCACAGGAAAATCCATATGTACACTAGAGAAAAAAGAATGAGAGAAGTATGATTGATTTGTTCCTGGTAGATGACCGACTGCGAAAACAGGTGATGGATACACGAGTGTTCAGGGGTGCTGACCTGGGAACGGATCATTATCTAGTAATTACTAGATTTAGGGGTTTGTTCGCGGGTTGGCGCTACCGGACGGCAGTAACAGAACCACAGTCGGTCTGTCGCATCCGAAGCTGGAAGCTTCAGGAAGCGGATACTAGGGACAAATATCACACGAGGGTAGCCGAAAAGCTTGACACCATCGATGGCAGGAAAGAGTGTGTGGAGAGAACATGGCAGAACCTTAGGGATGGAATAGTAAGTGCAGCGGAAGAAGTATGTGGTACGACAAAAAGAGGTAGTAGTAAAAGAAGAGATGCATGGTGGAATGATGAAGTGAGAGAAGCTGTAAAAAAGAAGAAAAAATCATGGTTAGACTACTTGGCCTCTAGTAACGATGAGCATATGAGAGAGAAGATGAAAGAAAGATATAAGCTGCAGAAAGTTCATGCGAAAACATTGATTGAGGAAGTACGTGAAAGGTGTAGAATAGAAGCGGACGAGAGGTTGTCGCACAACTTTAGGGAAAACTCCAAACTCTTCTGGAAAGAGGTTGGAAGGTCCCGGAGTGGTGCAACAGCCTTAAGAATGAACAAAGTGCTTTCGAGAACCAATGACGTCCTCTTAGAAAAATCGGACGTCGTGCAGCGATGGAATGAATTTTATAGAGAAACGTATGCGTGTCATGATCGTAGTGAAGGATCCGGGGGTGACGCCGTGACTGGCACGCCAGACACGGACCTCGATGACACTGAGGTCATCGGCATGAAAGAGATTGAACGTGCGATTCGAAGTTTGAAATATGGTAAGGCTGCGGGACTAGACAGAGTTACTGCTGAAATGGTCAAGTACTGTGGGCCTCGCGTCTGGGATAGCTTCCATCTACTGTGCAATTTGTGCTGGCGGACAGATGATTGGCGATCCGCGGTCATTGTGCCTTTATATAAAGGTAAAGGTTCACATTTTGACTGCGGGTGCTATCGGGCGATCACCTTGACCAGTTTAGCAAGTAAAGTTTACTCGAAGGTTTTGACATGTAGGATGCAAGAGAAATCGGAAAGATTCTTATGGGAGGCACAATGCGGATTTAGACCGGGAAGAGGATGCACGGATCAAATGTTTTCTCTCCGCATGATCACGGAGAAGCTTCTGAGTGTTAACCAGAGGATTTTCTGTGCTTTTGTGGATCTGGAGAAAGCATTTGATAAGGTTATAAGGAAGAAAATGTGGGAACTGTTACCGGGATATGGTGTGGATGGTCGATTGCTAAGGGCTGTGCAGTCACTTTACTATGACTGTAATGTCTGTGTGCGGGTAGGGCATGACCTGTCACCCATGTTTAGCGTCCAAGCGGGCGTAAAACAGAGTTGTGTCATGTCTTTCTGGCTGTTCATACTGTATCTCGACAGCTGTTTACAAAAATGCTGAAAAATAGCTGTTTGGGTGTGAAATTGGGTGACATAAAAGTTAATTGTCTGCTGTATGCTGATGATGCAGTGCTTATTGCACCATCAGAAGCAGAACTGCAGGCATTAGTCATGTGTATAAAAGAGGAATGTGAAATTAAAGGTCTCCGTTTGAATGCTAATAAAACTAAGGTTCTGGTATTTGAAAAGGACGAAGAGAGAACGAAATCTGAAATATGGGTAAATCAGGAATGTCTAGAACAGTAAATGAATTGGGGAGTGCTTTCATCCGGGATGGAAGATGTGATTTAGATGTGGATAGGCGTATCGCTGCCGGAAACAAAGTCAATGGTGCCCTGAATGCATTAGTAAAAAGGCAAGGCGTGGTGAAGAGTGCACGCTTTGCAATACATAACGCAGTGTTGGTACCGACTTTGTTATATGGCAGCGAAACCTGGGTATGCCAGAAGAGGCATAAAAGCAAGTTGAATGCAGTGGAGATGCGATCTCTTCGTAAAATGTGTGGCGTTACCATAGCCGACCGAAAGCGAAACGAAGAGATTCGCAATATGGTAGGATTGAAAGATGACCTTATCACAAAAATTGATAGGGGCGTACTCCAATGGTTTGGGCACGTTGAACGAATGAGTGAAGACCGAATGGTGAATAAAATATATAGAGCGAAAGTAAATATTAAAAGGTGTCGAGGTAGACCGAGACTAACTTTCGAAGACCATGTGAGCAAATTGCTCGAAGAGGGGAGGGTCAAGGTACTCGGATACGTAGACGTGCATGTATGAAGAAGTTAATGAACCTGAAAGAAGCGAAAGAGGTATGTAAGGATCGTGACACTTGGCGATCTGTTCTCTCTGGCTACCCCGTTAGGGATTGTGCGTGAAGATAAGTAAGTAAGTATTGTAACAGGTTCTGACGATAAAGGATTGAAATCACAGAATAGTGGACTTTAAATATTTTACAGAAGAATTAATGCGCATATCTAGCCATGAATTCAACAGTCGAATGTTTTTTCAACACAATGAAGCTAGTTTCAGAAACAAAACATGGTTTAGTTTTGAAGTTATTATATACATGCGACTTGTGCAAAAATCAATATAGTATTATGAACTCGCCTGAAAACTTGAATACCAAAGCAGTTGAAGGTGCAATGGCTGCCGGCTGTGGTAAAGCACTATTAGGACAAATAACAGCGTCTTTAGATTTACCATCTTTATCAGATTACACTTAAGAGTTTGGCAAAATAAAGTATGTCAATAATGGAAGACTACAGCTTGGGACGAAATGAAAAAGGCAGGTGATAAGGAAAGGGAAAGGGCTGCTATAAAGGGAGGTAAAGTTAACAAAAACGGCATTCCATTAATAGACGTCAAGCTCGATGGATTCTGGTCAAAACGTTCATATAAAACAAATTATGCTGCCCTCTCTGGGGCCGCTGCCATAATAGGCGGATGTTTTGGGCAGGTACTATTTATGAGCGTAAAAACAAATATTGTTGCATTTGTGCGAGGTCATAAAAGCAAAATATGCCGCCAAACAACACGAGTGTTTCAAAAATTACTGTGGGATTTCTACAGGAATGGAGTCTATCATATTAGCAGAGGATTTTAAACAGTCAATAGAAATGCGCCAAGTAATATACGCACGATTTATAGCACATGGAGACACAGTGAAAACAAGCAATTAGATAGAATAGAACAGTTACACACGGACAGTAATCAATCCATTAATCATGCATTTGGCAAGCATAACGAGTGTAATACAATTATATGCTCAAATAAAAAAAAAACACAAATATGCGCAGAACTTTTCAGCAGCTGCATATTTCATAAAATAAGATTGCTTACCTCTAATGTTGCTTCACACGCAAGATTCCTCATAGAAAATATTGACAGTAACATAGTGGAGCGTTTCAATAAAGTGATTGAAAAATTTGTGTGAGGGAAAAGAATAAATTACTTCTTAAGATGGCCTTGGTATGGCACGTTGTGCAGGAGCTGTTATTTCTTTAAACAGTGGCAAAATTCATACAACGTTTACAAAAACCATTTACAAAAAATCTCCAACAAAAAGGCTAAAGTCATATGAAGAAAAAATTGATAAAAGGAGGAAATATCACAGACTAATTAAGAAAGAAAGGACCGCAATTTGTTACCAAAAAAAAAAATTGATTTCTATTACGGTGAAAACGTAGAAACCAGATATGGGCGCAGAAACGTATGAAATATCAAAAACAACATTTCTGAAAAAATTGGAAAAGACAGATGCTGAACGTCGTGAAATACAATCGCGCACAATACTGCAGAGCGAGAGTGGTGAGTGAATAGAGTTACACATAAATCTTCTTACAGCCTCTAATTTTGGGAAGATTGTCAACAGCGTTAAAACCAACAGTTGTGTTAGTACAGTAAAAATATGTTGTACAAACCAGACATTGGACACGTGTCTGCAGTAAACCACGGCCGAACACACGAAAAAGTAGTTCTGGAACAACTGCCAA